TAATAATGCATATTGTAAATCATTAGAATTTTGCATTGACCAATTAAGATAATTTTTTTTTAGTGGTAAATAGATCACTTCAAATTTTTGACTTGCTGAAGTTAATAATCTTGTTTTGGCTTTAATTATAATTTGTGTTATTATTTCTAGAACTGTAAAAATAGTCTTAGGGGACTTGTAGGGAAGAAAAACATTCTATTACCAACAAATGATCTCTCTTAGAAGGATTTTATTGGAAAATGAGACTGTAAAGTTGCGTGGTTTTTTTTAATGGCAAAAAGGAAAGGTTTTTTTGGAATATAGCGATGAGCTTGTCGTCTTTGGAGAGCTTCTACTATGACTTTGTAAGAGCTGCACGAGCTTTAGGTGTTAGAGTTTTAGGAGAGTTGATGTTACAACTTCCTCTCAGTAAATTAAAAAGCGGACATAGTTCATTATTGGTAATTTCTAAAACAGGTTTAACCCACTTGATTTTTCTTAGAAGTTGTTGTAAATCTTGTAGGTTGTTGACACTGGTTTGGAGCTGTATCTTTTGAGCTGTAATTGTTTTTTTAGTTGTCTTTCATCTTAGATACTTCTAGGGTGGAACTTTTTGAATTTTGGTTATAGAAATTTTAAGTCTAGCATTTTGGATTCTAGTAACAACACTAGTAAATACTATAAGCAAAGCAATAAGATGTTTTTATTAGAGTCTTAACTGTACAGTACTAACAGATTTTTCAAAAATTTTTGTTTGCGTTTTTAGGACTTTTTTGGGCTTTTTTATTTGTTGTCTTAAAAAAACCCCTCAAAACTTTAGCCAAATTATCTCTTAATGCTTTTCTTAACTTTTCTTGAAATTTTGTAATTTGCTTTTTAAAAGCATTAACTTGCACGTTAGTAAGATGTTGTGGAGAAGTGAGCTTACTGTAAGCTGTTAGTATCTGTGTTACAGTTGGAGGTTGATTAGGTAAAGTTAAAATAATTTTTCTACATTCTTCGTTAGCGTTGAGAAAAGTAAGGTTTTGGATAATATAGGAATGAGCTTATTCATTTGGACATTGTTTTTTAACAGCTTGGGTTAATTTATCTAAGAAAGAGCCAAAAGATTCTGATTTACTTTGTCTGATAATAGTATAAACATTTACATGGGTATTAGCTGGCTCAATTGAAAATTAAGCTTTTTTAGCAGCACCTTTAATATTGGTGAGCACAGGTTGAGGCAATTTTGTTGCCTGATTTTTTGGTCTATGGAAAGGTGGATCACTTGTTAGCTGGGCAATATTCATGTTCTTATAAGGAGAGTTTTCATATTTTTTAACCAATTTATTAAGAAGTTTTTTTTTATTGCAATTCTCATAGGAGATATTGTGAATTGGTTAAGATTAGGGAATTTACATTTTGACAATTAAAAGGGACTAAATCATAAGAATTAAATATATTTTTTAACACATTGTTAAAATAAGGAGAAGAGAACCTACTGTCTTTTAAAGGTTGATGGAGTTCTTTTATATCATGGTGAGAAAGTTTTATATTGTGGGTTTACATCATTATGACCACACTTTATTAGTAAGGCAAGAAGTTGCTTATTTAAGTTTAATTTTTTTTTCTAAATTTTGACTAATATTAGATTAATTAGGTAGTTACAGTGGAAGGTTTACCTCTGACTTAGACCTTGTTTTGTTTTTTTTTTTCTCATCACTTTTGTGTCTGACTTAGAAGAACAGGTAGTGTTGTTATAACAATTAGCTGTCTTAGGAACTTTGCTAAGAAGCTCTAAGTTCTTGGTAGTAGTGTTGTCGTAGCATAAGGTCTCCCTGGGAGCTTTGCTAGGAAGGGTGGAGGAGGAGAGCTCTACCTTCCTAACGTTGCCTCCTCTGTTGGAGGTAGCGGCCGCAGAATGTGTTGTATTAGTCACAGAAAGAAAGCTAGAGCTTGCTACATCATGTCTCAATTTACTAAATTGGATCTTTTTAGAATTATACAAATTGGGCTGCTCTCAAGTTGAAGAGCTTGAATTTATATTTGTGATACTTTCTAATGAACTGTTAAAAGTTCTATTCTGTATCCTCACCCGCGGGGATGCAGCTGGAAAACTCTCAGTTCTAAACTGCAAATTTGACATTCTTTTATCCTCCCTAACAGCGAATGAGACAGGCTTTAATGTTTCTAAAAGATCTGTTTGTATTTCTACATAAACTTTCTTGAGCTCTCCCACTTCCACCCCATTCATCTTTCTGGGTAGAACTATCCCTGCCCTGCTTAGCCTTGGGATGCTGCCTGTCACTTCCATCTGCCCTCTTGCCTGCTCTTCCACAGGCAGAGCTAAATCTAAAGCTCCCCCTCCAGCTACAATGGGAGGCTGAGGGGTTATAAGCAGCAAAAACCCCGGAAGGGGCTTGAGGGAAGAATTAACACGAAAAGAAATCTCTGAACTGTAAAACAATTTGTACCTGAGCCTGATTTGAGGGAGTAACTTCTTGAGAAGGGGAAACTGTGGCAGGGGTGACTCTTACAGCCCCTTGGCTAGGCAGAGCGGATCTAAAGCTCTCTTCAGCAAACCTTGCTTGCAACACTTCCGAACAAGGCCCGGCCGCAGCCTGCTCAGAAGAAAAGTGGGGCACAGAAATAGCAGCCCTTGTTTTGCAAAGCTTCCCCAAACTCTCACCTCCTGAACCTATTAGAATCTTAGCCTCCCTAGAACATGATCGCGGACCCTCTAGATTCTTAGAGTACAAAAAATATCCCGAATGCTTCCCTAGGAGCTTCAGGGGTGGATGATTTTGTGGAGGGATGGGAGGACGCTTGGTGGCAGCATCAGTGATACAGGGAATACTGGAAGAAACAGAGCACACGACCGAAGCTGGAAGCTGATCAGATTCTCCCTTCTTGGGGGTTGGGGTGTTTAGTTTAGACTGCCTGGGGAAACTCTGGACACGCTAGAAGAAGGGAAGGAACCCTGAATAAAACCCAACACCCGCCCAGAGGAGGACAAAGACTCAGCACCACTCGGATTTAAAGTTTCAGAACTAGGTATTTAGTTTCGGTGCTCAAGAAAGTCTTTGCTACGATCACTTGGTTTGAAACTTTCTATTAAAGCTCTGGAGACAGGCATTAGTTTGACTAAAGTCTCTTTTTTCTTAAGAGAGACTAGATGGTAAATTTTCTAGTTTATCTGGTTCCAAAAATTAAAGGTAAAAGCAGAATTCAAGTCTATATTTTGAGTATTCGCTTTACCTAGATTAATAAGTCCTTTAGTTCATGTTTAGAGATATTTGAACGTCCTTTATCTTGTAAAATTGTCTCAAGCTGGTAAAAGACGTCCCATTCATTTTAGATAGAAAACTTTTCATCACGTTGCTTAGGAGCCTCTAAAATTGCTACTGGGTACTTACAAGGATAGCAGCTACTGAAGACAAAGGGGACAAACTATTCTTATTAACACCTGGGCGTCTGGGGACTGAGTAGTCTACAATCTTCTTTTTTATTCTACTAGTCTAATTGTTGTCCTCACACAAGGCACCATTTATTGTAGGCTAGGGGCTATGTATAAGTCACAAACGAGACGAGACTACTGTGGAATGCATCTCAAGCTGTTTATTTTTTAGCATTAGTCTCATTACATAGTTATGACAATAAGAAGATGCTAGCAGCTCATATCTAAGCAACAAACCAAGAACTTAATGTTAAAACTTAATTTATAAACTTTTTGACTAGTCACACAAAGCAAAAACATACTGATAGTAATTCTATCCAATCACTATAAGCACACGTACCTTTAGTTAAAACAATGCTTGCTTATTTCAAATACAATATTTGCTTATAAACTTCAAGATACAATGCACAGAACTCCATTATTAAGCTTTGACCTTCCTAATATCTCACCAAATATACTTTTCTACAACTTAAAAAGTTATTCTACCTAAGCATTAATACTATTGTTAAAGCGTTAAAACTATTGTTCTATTTGCCCTTTCTTTCTACTTCTTATATACTTTTCTTTTGCTAAAAAATCTTATAACTACTACTTAGCTCTAATCACCATCTTGCTGTCTCTAAGGCCTACCTTTTTCAATGTGCCCCAAACCCTCTAATTTAAAAAAAATCCCACAACTGAGGGTAATTCTACGGCAGGTCTCATTTGCATTCCTCTGAGCCATTTTTTTAATCAGCTCTGTCTGTACCACAGGGTCTTGCACCTGTCTTTTGACTTGGGTTCTCAAGCGATCCACAGACTGCAAAAAACTCTCTGAAGGAAACTGTTTAATGTTAAGATAGCTGCACTTAGCCTCAGTTACTGGTAATTGATAAAATGTTTTTTCTGCAGCGTTACAAATTTTTTCCAAAACCGACCTAGATAGCACTCGAGTTTGTTTTTCTGGGCAGTGCAATTCTCCTGTGCTGCATAAATGATCTATTCTAACAGGATTGCCATCATTGTCCATGGTGTCACTGGGTGTTTGTTGTAGTTCTTGTAAAACTGCTGTTAACACCAACTTCCATTTATTTTCCCTTATATTCAGAAGGTGTAAACATTTAAATAAATCAGTGATATCTTTAGGTACCATTTCATTTGAATTAAAAGTTGCCCTTATCATGCCTTTAAAAATCTCACTTGTTCTTCCAAATTCTCTCTGTATTTTACAAATCTCTGTTTTGTCTCTATGTGGTAGTGGTTGGTATGTCCTGCTACCGTTTCTCCTACCTAGATATACAACAGGTGCTATAGATGGTATTAGTTCATTTCCAACATCCATAGAGACAGGGGGGTTTGCCCCCGCCACCCCTTGGGTCCCGGTGAGAAGCAGGTCGCCCCCCGCCTCTCCCGGGCTACTGGTGTCGCGGGGAAAACCCCGTCCCTGCCGGCGCTGTGGGCTGAGCTGCCCTGCCCTGTCCCTGCAGCATCCGGGCTGGGAGCTGTGCCGGGACCGGCCACGCCCCCGTTCCCCTGGCAACCCAGAGGCAGGCTGTGATACGGAGGATGGGGGGAGCTGCTGGAGGCCGGAAGGGCTTGAGGGAGGGGTGGGTAGGTGAGGGGAGGAAAGGATTGTGAAGAGATGAGCACATGGTCGCCGCCATTATGCTGCCGCGTGGTCCCTGCTTGAGACAGAAACACTGCCAGACTAGATTTCTCAGAAGAACCAGGTGTCACAGGGGGTACAGGGTGGGTAAAGCGATATCAGAGCTAGGATACTGAGGAGGTGGGTCTAAATTAGAGAAAGGGTTCAATCAGACTGTTAGTCTGTGTCTTTATGCTCTTTTCTGCTTCTAAAATCTGTTTTCGGGCTTGTAAAAATACCGGATTTTAATCGTATCGATGGTCTATCCTCCACCAGACTTTTACAACAGCACTGTTATGAATAAAACAGCCTGGGTGGGACACTTGGCTTGAACTAAGTACGGACATTGAAATGTTAATTAGCCAATTGCTCCTGAGAATCACCTACACCCCCACCCAAACTAGGACTAGGATGCAAAATAAACCAGTGGAATCATGGGAGGGGGTTTTGGGGATGAAAAACACGTCAAAATGAAAAAGAGGGGCACAGTGTAGGGGGCTAGATGGGTGTGCAGGTTGGGGAAAAGGGAACCCCATCCCTAGTCTGTGTTTGACCTGTCACCATAACCTGCAGAGGACCAGATTGGACTGGGCTGTAGGAAGCAAATACAAGGACAATAGACAGTCTTCCTGGTATTAGCAGGAGGGCAGGAGAGAGATAGTTACTGCTGGATCTCGGCAGCAGACTTTGCATATCCCCCCCAGGCTTCGGCTACCAGTGTGCCAGGAGGAAAGGAGATAGGACACTCTGCTGATCAGGACTACAGATACAGACTGGACACCTCTTCACCTCCGGCTACCAGCGTGACACGGAGACTCCAGGGACAGACTCTGCAGCCTTCTCGCCCTTCAGCTACCGGAAGGAGCTACAAACAACCCCCCTGCCAAGCTGACTTTTTAATAAAGAGCTGAACACTAATAAAGGCATAAAACCTGTTCATTTCAGCACGATTTTTAGAATTCCCGCCGATAGCACCGAGATCAGCGCGGGGGGGAAGGAGTGGGGGAGGTGCTCGTCGCGCCGCCGCCGGAGCGGCTCCTGCTCTTTTTACTCAGTTTTCCTGGGGCAGGGGGGGGTTCCCCCCGCTGTGCCAGAGCTCCAGACCCCCTCCCGTCCCTTCCCTACCCCGGGAGCATGGGTACTGTCGGTCAGAGCGGCTCTGCTCTGCCACGCACCAGCCCGCCGCTTTCCAGATGCGGGCACTGCTTTTAATTTAGCCCGCGCAGGCAGCTCCCCACAGTTACATTGGTAACTCCTCCCACCTAGACACACACCCGGGAAAACGTGATCGAAGGGCTTACCAATCCTGTTAACTGTGAGGACGTGCGTGAGTTCATCTGGGGTCCCTTCTCCAGCCGGCTCACCTGGGGTACTCAGGCGAGGTCCCGACTCTTCCTTGTCACTCACAGCCTTTAAAGGCAACTAGAGTAACGGGGCAGTTGACTGTCCCAAAGAGCTTTTGAGATCCTTTGAAACAGGGTCTTCAGCTTCTACGTGGGCTTTTCCACTTGCGTTGGGGGCCAAATGACGTTTCTCCCCTCTCAGCCCCTAAATTATCAGGCTAGCCCAGAGATCCGAGACCTTGAGGGGAGGAACATCAGGAGATGGGCAAAGATTTCCAAAAGTGGCTCTTACCCCGATATAGTTGTCCAGCTCCTTTTATTGCATGGTCCGAGGAAAGAGCAGGGGATAAGAGAGTGAAGGAAGGGTCAGGGATTTATCTAGGCTCTGGACAGGGAGGGCTTTCCTGGCTCTCCGCCAACCCCGTCAGGGCAGGAAGGTAGAGACCAGACTTATCTGATCAGAGTCACAGGGGTCCTGGGGAAAAGGGGGAAAATATGGCCTGAGCGCACTGTTAACAGCAGGGCACCATGAGATACTGAAACATCCTTGACTTAGTGTAAGCACTGCTCAGCAGCAACTGAACCATTACTGGGTTACCAATGTTATTCTCACTCTACACCCTAAACACAGAATTGTACCTCTAATAGATGGAAAACTCACTCTATCCCAGATGAAACCAGAACAATAGGGGACCATTTTTGTAGTCCAGATGTGATTGCTGTCCTTTTTCTTTACCCTGTAACTATTTTCCACACTCTGCTCAGTACCAGTGACTGTTGTTCTTCACAAGAAAAAAGTCTTTTTTTGTACTTATTTTGGAATGAGTCTACATAGAAGCAATCAGACTCAGGACCATAGTCTCACTTCTTAAGTCTACTTCTAAACAAACCACGTGGTTTGGGAAGAAGGCATCTTGATTGTGATCTTGCTGTTTCATAAAAACAGTGCCCCTCTGTGGCATGTTCATGGTTTGGATTAATACCATTACCTGCTGCCTTTGCAGGACCTCAAGCTTTGTGATGTGTGAGCAATTCTGTGATCTTGCCATGAAATTCTGCCCACACCATTGAAAATGTTAATATAGAGACACCAAATAAGCCCTGCATTAATATTTGTCTAAAACACAGACAATTTCTAAACCTCATCTGATTTAGGCAAACACAGAACTCCAGATTATTTAATTTAAAAAAATATAAACATACTAATATTAGTTTTATAAATTTCAGTGCTCTGTCATTTCAATCAAAATGCATTTCAGATTAAGAGAAAATTACTTTATGCTGAGAAGAAAAATTTATTAACCTACAGAAAAAAAATTGTTGTTTTGGAACCTTAGTCTGCTTGCATAGATCTAATAGTGGTAACTAAGGAAAGAAGAAAAACACCACATTAAATCTACATGAAATTGCATATCAAACAATCAAACGTTTGAGCACACAGCTCTCCAACCCGGTAAAATTTCAACATCTCTACATACAAGTGAGAAACTTAATTGAATGTATTTTGTGATTAATTTGACAAAATGGTTTGCAGCATCTTCTGCATGCTCTCGTTTAGTTGGGTACCTTCTTACTTGCCTTCTTGCCATTGTCATAGACATAGACAATGTAACAATTTAAGATACATCTTTTGCCCTATGGATTGCTAAGAGAAGATTTAAAAACAGCCAGCTATGAAAACAGAAAAATCTGTATCAGATATTTATGATTTTGAGCTGGAAAAGCAGTTTTGCACAACAGCTGAAGTATCATTGATGATTAAGGTACCATCAGGCCAGCAAATGTTGCAACTATGTCCTCAATATAGACTTATTATCCCTCAAAGTAATTTAAATGCAACAGGTATAAAATACAGTTCCGGAACACCAGAGGTGAGCTCCTTGAAAATGTGCTTTTTTCAGCCACAGTAGGGACCATCCAAACACCTATAATCTCAAAGGGTAATGCTTTCTTTGACATCTAAGACCCACAAAGTATTCATACAATGAGAGAAAATTCCACTGTGTTATAGGAGTAGCACTGGAATTTCAACAAGTATAGGCCTAAATGCCTTCTTTATCAGCTGATCTTAGAAGCTTCTTGAAGACAGGATTAAAAATGGCACTCAGCACAGCACTTTCCCACGCACTCTTTTGTAGCTGGCTTGAAATTTCATGTCCATGTAGACTCACACTTCAAAAAGGTCTGTAGTGCATGTGGAAAGGTGAGCTGCCCTGAGAATTTGTTTCTTGTTTCTATGAGAATATATTCAAGATAGAAGGCTTGCTGTTTAACAAATATATTTGAACTGGACTTTGTTTAAAGAATTCATAGAAAATTTACCCAGCAGGGCAATTTGCATCACAAAAAGTCATTTGGACAGGATTTGTTTCATTAAAAGTTTGAAAGGATAAATTTAACCTCTGTTAATTACTTTTTTCCTAGCGTTCTAGATTATGATAACCAACAAGGTGTCAGGTTGTATGCTGACTCTATGTCCTGGGTTGTAAGATAAGCTTGTATTCCATTTGCCATCTGTTGAAGAAAAAAACCGGTTGGACAGGTTTTTGTTATCTCTCTCAGAGACAATGGTTTTGCCCTGTAGAGGCAATGATTTGTTTATACACCATTGACTGATTCAATGAAGGGCTGGTAAATGTAACACCGTGAGGGGTCCCACCCAGAGGGGGGAAGCCAGGCACTCTATTGTTGTTTAAAGGGGTAGCTTTTTGGGGAGAGGAGGCAGCTCTCTGGGCGGGACTCCGAGAGAAGCAGCTCTCTCTCTCTTCGCGGGATTTCT